TTCCTGCTTTTTTTCTGTTGCAAGTTAGATCAAAGTTGGGTCAGAGTGGAATAGGATGAGACGAGAACAAAGCCTAGTAGGAGGAGAGAGCACAGTCAGCCAAAGAGAGGTGTGACTACAGCCTTACAGCACTGGAAAAAGGTTGTGGTGGTGCTGCCGTGCTGGATGTTCACCAACATTTTTGAGTTCAAGAACTAAACTTCAGGTTCCAGCAGGTGTTTCCTGTGTTCGGTGCTGGAACAAGTACATAGATGTGAGTTGGCATGGTCACTTTTTTTTTTTGCCTTCTTCCTGGAGACAGGCTGTTGCTCCATCTGCTGGGCTGGCCTGACACGGTGGCACAGAAACACCCTCACCCTCGGCAGGAACCGTGGATTTATGCTTCTCCCAGAGTTACGCATCTGCTTTAAAACCAGCAGCAGCCGTAGTCCCAGCATGTGTTGATGCCAAGCTGATATGCGCAGGGCTTGGCTTCAGTAATCTGTAAGCACACTCACAGTAGCCTGAAGCCAGACTGGCCCAGTGTGGCCATTGTATCAGCACGCATCTCTGATAAGCATTGATGTGGTGGATGTTACCAGGCCCAGCGTGCTGTGTTCAATTCTCCAGTGGAAACAGCGCACTGGAGTCTCCCCAGGACGCTGCGTTGTTGAAGACGGGCATTAGGAGCTACGTTTTATTTTAAACATGCTTGTTCTGCTTTGGCTTCTGGAACATTGCCATGGCCTGATTGGATCTGGCCTGTGCCCCAAAGGCATTTCTTCACTATTGTAAAACTACTGCATATCTTTGCAGACACATAATGTAGACCCACATAGGCTTTTATCTGGCCTTTTATTCCAGCTCTGAAGCAAAGGAAACAGCCGTGTGACAGAAAAATCCCTGCAATACCTTTGCAACAGAACAGTTTTAAAATAAGCCTTTTTTTTCCAAATTGTGCACCTTATACAGGACACAGCTTTCTAACCAGAAATCTTTAGCTTTTTGTGTCCCATTGTGGGCTTATATTTTAAAAAAAAAAAAAAGTTGTTGCTCTCACTATTACTTTTTTCTTTCTTTCCAGAGGAGGGTTTTGACAGGTACAAAATGGTGGTGCAGGTTGTGATTGGAGAGCAGAGAGGAGAAGGAGTGAAGTAAGTTTTGCATCTTCTAATTGTATTTCTATAGTTTTTGTTGAGTTTTGAGGGGTTTTTCTTCTTTGGAAGCTGCTTCCAACTTTCCTAGGTACAAGGTTTAAATTTCTATAATCCCCGTGCAATGCTATCATGGGAATCAAGCTTACACTGTGGGTGCTGAGCAATTGCAATCGAACTCCAGATGCCTGCAGTCAGACACATGAATTCCTCTTGGCTTCAGCAGTGGGCTGTAGCTTTCCATTACCAGTGAGTGGGGAGAAGACAAAGGAGAACAGCCCATGAGGGTTATGTGCTTTATCTGCTGAGCTTATCTTTATTATTGTGCCTGGTACTCCAGTAGAAGATAAGCCATAATCAGATCTGCTGCCCCAATGTTCTAGAGGTCAGGAGGGAGTATCTGTACCTGCTGCTAGGGCTTTTCTCAGGAATGTCCATCTGCAGGCAGATGGCTCCAGAAGCACTGTACCAGGGTGAACGAATGGTTCATTGAGGTGTCCTGATTTGAAACACGAAGCCCAGCAATGCTGAGCCAGAGCAATTGGGGAAATTTTCTGGTTTGCAATAGACAGGAGTCAAGAAGCACGATCACTAACATCCTTCATGCAAAATACTGGCTATGTCCAGAGGCAGAGTGGAATATTGGACTTTAAAAAAAGAAAAAAGCAGAATCACCCTGAGGGGCTAAGGTAATGAGGAAAAAAGGATTAAATTCAACAGTTTTAGGACAATAAGTCGAGCATGTGGGGACTAGGAACAACAATGTGCTGTGCCACAAATGGAGAGCCCACCAGCTGAGATTGACTGGGGAAGGCAGGGAACCGGGCATTTGCAGCAGAGAAAGGAGGGCGTCAGTGGCATTAGACAAGGCAAGCAGCAAGGTCTCGTCTGTAATATCCTGTTATGGTCGGGTTGCTTGTCTTCAGGGTAAGGCTTGGACTGAAGCAGGTGTAGAAAAAGGCCAGCAGGATGGTCAGGGAACAGAGGGTATAGATATGAAAGGACTGGAAGAGCTTAGCTTGTGGTCTAGTAACACAACGTCTGCCAAGGAATACGATAGGTCCCTATAAATAAATTGGCAGTACATACCACGAAGGTGAAGGAGATGAAAGACAAGAAGAAATAAGCTAATTTAGCCACTGATATGTATAGGCCAGAAGTCAAATGTTCTTAAGCACCACAGCAATGATGTTTCTAGCCCTGTTGCACAGTGCAAGTAGCAGGGTTGGTAGCAGATGAGTTTGAAGATGGAGATTGATCAACATACAGGGAGGTTACAGCAAAAGGAAACTCAAGTTTGCTTTTTGAGGAAAGTATCTGTGATGGCTTAGGTCCTTACACATGAACTTTGTGGGTAATGGCTCTGCTCTGTCTCCTTTGTCCAGTATGGCTGCACGGTGTTTCTGGGATGCTGACACTGACAGCTACGCTCACGATGTGTTCATGAATGTGAGTATCGGCTCTTTTACCATGGGAAAGCATAAAGGTACTGGTTTTTGTATGAGAGGCAGAGTGACCTTAAACGTGGAGCAGAAAAAAACCAACCACTGGAAGGAAGGAACCAAGACTCTGTTGCCACAATATGATTTACGTCCTCATTCACAAAACATACTCGAATATAATATCCAACATAATAAAACTTATTTCCTGACATACAGTACTGTACAAAAGTCATTCTAGTCACACCATTTTACAGGTAGGGAGAGGAAGCACAAGAGATAAAGTCTTTTCTTACATGCTTTGCTGAACTGCTGGTGCAGTATGGCTGGAATCCAGGGCTGCGCAAAAGTCAAGGTTAGATTTTATTATTATTTTTAAACTGACATCCAGACACTTGTGGGTACATGGAGGGAGTAAACTGAGGTTTTTCTGGCATTCAGACACACTGACCTGGGTTACACCACAAATGAGGTGAATAAGAAACTAAAAGGCAGAAAAATGCAATATATTGCAGTATAAAGCCTTTACTAACATGGAGCCTTTCTCTGTTTTCCTCAGGACAGCCTGTTTTGTGTGGTAGCTGCGTTTGGCTGCTTCTACTATTGAAGATGGTAAACATTGCACAGAAGGACAGAGGAGGGGGAGAACGTCTTAGGGTTATTTTTTGTTAACATGCACAAAAGCATCATGTTCTTCCTTAGCACCTAACAAAATGACAGCTCTACAAAGCATGTCCTGCACCTGTTCTACACACTACAACATTCCTTCTTCCTTGTGGATTAAGCACAATCCACAGTCAATCCTTCCTTGTAGCTTTAAGCACAATATTATTGTCTTTTATTTAAATCGCCCTTTGTTTTTATATAGTGAGTTGGTTTTGTCCTAGAAAAGTGTATTGCCAATAGCCATTGTTTCCAAGGCAAACTCAGCTTTTGTCTTGAAAGGGTGGTTTTATTTTTGTTAATTTTCGGAAATGAATGAAGTATTTATAAGAAATGTAACATAATAAATCTATGTATTTTATATTTACTCTCCTCTGGGTTGACCCTTGCCATTTCCACCACTCTTTGTCCGAGATACGGTATTTAGGACATTGGGTCAGGCCAGCAGCCTGCACACCCCCCGACTGCCAAAAATCCTCCCTGCTGTAACTCCTCATGGGTTTGGTGCAATTTGGCACCCATGGACACTGTGAGTAATCACTGCTCGTTGCCCTCTTCAGCAGAAACTGCAGTGCTTTTGCAATCTGCCTCTCTGAAATTGTTTTGGGATATGAGGGTGGGTGTTTGGAACTCAAATTTGTTAGAACTCCAGCCTCAGAAAGCAGCAGTAGAAAAGCCAGCTGTAGATCAGAAAAGGAGTGTTCATAGGATCATAGACTCGTTATGGTTGGAAAAGACCTTTAAAATTATCAAGTCCAATCATTATCTAACTCTGCCATGCCCACTTCTGAACCATGTCTCTGCTGAGCAAGGAGCAAACACAGCTGAACAATTTCAGCTGCACGAATGGCTTTGAGTGCTAAGCTGGGTAAGGTGAGTCCCAAATCCTGCTCTCATCGACTGTTGGAGCAGGACTCGCTCTGTCCACGCAGCTCCTGGAGAGCAAGGAAACAACAAATTACGATTTATCTTCTGGAGTCGCTCTCTTTCAGCTGCAATCCTGGTGGGAGCACGCTCCTGTTTCTTTATTGTGTTTGTTTGAAAGTGGCTTCCTCTCATTTTCTTCTGATGGGAAATAAAAGGATGACATCCCTGATTGCTCTGTCCCTACCTGTGGCTGTCATTCATGAAAGGAGTGACCCTACCTGACCAGCCCCGCGGCGGGGGGACGGACCCGTTGCGAGCCGGAACGGAGTTTCCGGGCACGATTTCCCGGGGCGCTGCC